CTCCAGTAGCACCTCCAGCTCCCACAGCACCACGGCGGCGGTGACAGTACCGAGAGTACCACTCACGCAGCTGCTGGAAAGAGAGAACGCCCCTAGGTGCAGCACCCCCAGGCTCAGGACCTCCAGACTCAGCACCCCCAGGGACAGCACCCCCAGTCTCAGCACCCCCAGGCTCAGCACCCGCAGTCTCCGCACCCCCAGGCTCAGCACCCCCAGTCTCCGCACCCCCAGGCTCAGCACCCCCAGTCTCAGTACCCCCAGACCTAGCACCACCAGGCTCAGCACGCTCAGGCTCAGCACGCGCAGGCTCAGCACGCTAAGTACCTCGCGCAGGACCAGAGTCGACAGCTACCTCGACAGGCTCGACCGGGTCTACCTGGGAAACACCTGAGGGAGCAGGACCCTGGGGAGGCAGGGGGTCTACCGAAGCAGCACCTGGCGTGAGGAAGGGCGGCGGAGGGGGGAGCGGGGCAGTGCGGTAGGGGAAGAGACGGTAAAAGGAGACCGACTCGTCAAACGTGACGTCCTGAGAGGGCAGGACACGTCGCGAGGTGGCGTGGTAAAACTGCCAGTCAGGCGCGTCAGGGACAAAGCCCAGGAAGACACAAGGAACGGCACGGGAGGAGAGCTTGTCCGCGGACGTATCGCGGACAAAGCCAAGAGATCCCCAGACACGGAACACAGACGCATCGCCAACCGCTCCCGTCCAACGCAGTGTCGGCGAGGTCTCCGGAACGGAGACACGGGGCCAGAGGTTGAGCTGATGCGCGGCGTACCGGACCGCAAACGGCCACAGAAAATGAGGGGCAGCCGCATGGATCAAGGAGGTACGAGCGACCTCCATGACCTAGCCAATGCGGCGCTCAGCAACCCCATTCTGCTGAGGAGAGGCCGGAAGCGTGAACGGGTCTGCTCAATGCCCTCCCCCTGACAGAAGGCCTCCAAGAGGCCGGAGGAAAACTCACCACCTCTGTCAGAGTGCAGTCGCAGGACGGGAAGGTCCGTGCGAAAGCGCCTCTCCAGCTGGAGACGAGTAGCGCGGATCCAAGGGATCAAGACAGCAGGGACCTCTCCCTTGGTGCGCAAGGGGAAGACCGTGGTGTAACGCGTGTAGTCGTCAACTACCAGCAGGAAGTAGCGCTCTCCGCCCTGTCCACGGACGCGGGCTGGGCCCCACACGTCCACGTGAAGGGTCTGCAGAGGAGCCTCCGTCGGGGGAAACTCAGAGGAGTGAGGAGTGGCACGCTGCCGCCCCTCGACACAGGGAAGGCAAGGAGGGGCAGGGGACGGTGGCAGGGGAGGCAGTGACCTGGGGAGACCAGAGACAAGGAAACGAGAGTGCATGCCACGAAGGCGCTGCATCGAAGGGTGCCCAAGGCGGTGGTGCCAGAGGACCGTCCGGTGCGACAGGGTGCGACACGAGCAGGGGGCGGACAACTGACTTGACGCAGACGCAGACGCCGCTACCTGAGGGGACGCAGTGGTCAGTGTGTACAAGTCCGACCCCGGCTGCCGAGTGAAGGTAGCCAGGTGACGACCCGTCTGGGCACACGTGCAGTGTGTCACACGCTCATAGGCAGGGGTGAACTGGTGAACACCCGCGTCCTGGAGCGCGGAACCCGCCACCAAGTTCGTAGAGAACGAGGGGAGGTAAAGGCCCGTCAGTGTGCCGGACGGGACAGCAGGACAAGGGAGGGCAGTGGTGGAGGTCGCAAGGACCGGACCCCCGGAGGGGTCAGCCAGGGAGACAGCAACCGGCCTAGGGAGCTGCTCGAGGGCAGTGCGGTCGCGAAAGAAACAGCGGGAAGCACCTGAGTCCAGTGTGAAGGTGTGCAGTGCCTCAGTAGACGCAGTACCTGAGGCGCAGACTCACAAGCACCTGAAGCAACAGACACACCTGCACCTAGAGCAGCAGCCTCACCAGGACCAGGGGCAGCAGACGCACTAGCACCTAGAGCGGCAGCCTCACCGGCACCTGGAGCAGCAGATTGGATACCGGGGTCAGGCGGCACACACAGGTGACAGGCTCCCTCGGCACTAGTAGACAATGCATACATTGCAGTGAGAATAGCATCATAGTCAAGAGCAAAGATATCTACCCTCTGCCTAAGCAGCTCCACCCAGTCGGGGAGCTCAGCGTCGTCGCCAAACTCTGTACGCCAAGCGTCGCTCAGACGGGCGAAGCAGCGGAACTCTGTGTGACCACGCGTCCCGCAAGGCTGACCAGTCCGGACACCCGTGCTAATAACGTACGGGCAGCTAGCAGTACTCAGCGACCCTCTACTCTGAGCGTACCACTCACGAAGCTGCTGGGGCGAAAGAGTCTCGCGCGGACGACGCTGCTGCTGCACAGGGCCACTACAAGAAGCTCCCGAACTACCCACTCCAGGACGACTCCCACTACTGCCACCCCGACAACCCCAACTGGCGTACCACTCACGAAGCTGCTGGGGCGTGAGGGACACACGTGGACGGCCCTGTAGCTGCATCTGGCTACGCCAGGAGCAGTAGTAGAAGCAAGAGCAGCAGGAGCAGCAGTAGCAGTAGCAGCAGTAGTAACAGCAGTAGCAGCACGGGCAGGGCAGTGCTCACCAGTGGTGGGAAGGGCAGGCGCACGACGGAGGCGACTGCGGGGCCGCTACAGCGGCAGGGCGGGGCCGCGACCGCGGCAGGAAGCTCCGCGGCAGTTGGTGCAGGGCCGGACCGGGCCGCGACGGCGGCTGGTGCAGGGCAGGGACAGGGCCGCGATGGTCGCTGCTGCAGGGGCGGCTGCTTCAGGGGCGGCTGCTCCAGGGGCCAGGGGCGGCTCCTGTAGTGGCGGCTGCTCCAGTGGCCAGGGGCGGCCGCTCCAGGGGCCAGGGGCGGCTGCAGGTGCGGCTGCTACAGGGGCCAGGGGCGGCTGCTGCAGTGGCGGCTGCTCCAGGGGCCAAGGGCGGCTGCTGCAGGGGCGGCTGCTCCAGGGGCGGCTGCTCCAGGGGCCCGGCGCGGGGTAGGGCAGGGCGATGCGGCGGGTAGGGGCGGCGCGGCGGGCAGGGGCGACGCGGCGGGCAGGGCGATGCGGCGGGCAGGGGCGACGCCGCGGGCAGGGGCGACGCGGCGGGCAGGGCGACGCGGCGGGCAGGGGCGACGCCGCGTCAGCAGCTGGGCGCGGCCGCGTCAGTAGCAGGGCGCGGCCGCGTCAGCAGGAGGGCGCGGCCGCGTCAGCTGCAGGGCTGGCGGGGCCGCGTCACAGCAGGGCGGGGCCGCGTCCGCGTCGGCGGCAGGGTGGGGCTGCGTCAGCGACAGGGCGGGGCCGCGACTGCGGTCTGACGGGGCCGCGACTGCGGCCTGACGGGGCCGCGACTGCGACCTGACGGGGTCGCGCGCTGGCCTGACGGGCCTGCAGAGGCTGCGTGCGGGCGGCGAGGGCCTGCAGGGGCGGCGCGCGGTCGGGCAGAAGCTGCGCGCGGGCGGCGTGGTCCTGCAGGGGCAGCGCGCCGACCTGACGGGCCTGCAGAGGCGGCTCGGGGGCCTGACGGGCCTGCAGAGGCGGCTCGGGGGCCTGACGGACCTGCAGGGGCGGCTCGAGGGCCTTACTAGCTTGCAGGGGCGGCTCACTGGCCTAGGGCAGCAGGAGGCAGCGCGAGGGCTGCAGGACGGCGCGCAGGCAGAACGAAGGGCGGGGCGCGCGAGGGCGCACTAGCAAAAAAATGGCGCACGAGGGCGCACGAGCAGAGAAAGGCGCACGAGGGCGCACGTAAGGTAGGGCGCAGGAGGGCGCTTCTAGCAGAATAGTGGGCCCGTAGTAGTAAGCGGTCCTAGGTGGCAACCTAGGCTCGTGATACCATGTCAGAATGAACAAGTGTGTTTTCACTAGGAAAGAGTTGGGTACAAGTAGGAAACCCTAAACTTACTATACCCCATAGTAACTACCCCACTACAGCCTAAACAAACTGTAGCAGATATAACATTTGACACCCCATTCCCCAGTTCCCACCCGTTCTTCGCTTCTCCTCCCCTACCTACTGCACACGCTCCACTTCCCCACCCCCCCACCCCCTCTTTGCCCCCACTTCCCCCACTCCTCTTCCTGTCTCCCACCAGCTGGACTACTACATCAACTCACGCATAACTTACTTCATTGGGGGCGATCCAAAGAGTTGTTCGCTCTTGACATAAGGGCAACTGGGCGACCCCCTTCGTACCAGCTACCGCTGCACCCTGCATCGACTCGCACATGCCTAAATGCAGGACAAGTGCGGCATTTCTTAAGTTAGGTACCTCAAAAATAGTAGAATTCATGCAAACATACGAAGCATGGTATTTATTATACGTTCTAAATGTGGACTTACTGTTTCGGACACCACTCCGGGCCATGCCATTTCCCTCACCTCATCCCACACGTCTTCCCTTACCTTATCCCAGAGCTCGTGACGAACTTCACACGAACACTTTACTATTTCTTCTAAATCACATTAGCTTCCAACAATCCCTTCTTGCCCTTCACTCAATCGCGGCATACATTTTTCTGAGAAGATTACAAGATGGTGTCATACAGCAGCCACCACATTTTCTGTAGCCAGCGTTGTACATTCGTGCATGGCCACGGGTAGTGGGAAAAGGGCGAGGGTGAGTGGGGTATTGGACGGGGAGGAATGGGGGAATGGACGGGTAGGAGTGTTCCTAAGGACACGGGCCCTAGTCGGGGAGAGAACGAGGGGGGTGGGGGAATGGGCGTGGGGGAGTGGGGGTAAGGTTGGAGGCAGTGGGGGACTGGACGCGGGGGAGAGGGGGCTGGGGCGGGTGGGTGTCGGGGAAGGAAATGGGAGCGAGAGAGAGGGTAATGGCAGGAGTGACGGGAAGGGGTTGGAAGCATGCGCGGATACAAAGTGAGCCGGGGGGGGGAGGGGAATGAGCAGGGGAGACAGAGTGCGCCGGTAACCAATTCAGGTCGCAGGGCGGGTTGTGAGTGCGTGAAGGGGGAGTAGAGTGCGGTGGAGAGTGGTGAGGAGCTGGCATACCGTGTGGGGACGGGAGTGGGCGAGGTGTAACACATGGTGTCAGAGACAGCAGCAGGGTAGAGGTGGAGGTGTCTGATGGATCCTGCTGCTTGTAACCACTGCTAGCCGCAGGGCGGGGTGTGAGGGCCGGGAGGAGTGGAGTGCGGTGGAGGGTGGTGAGGTGCGGAGGAGGAGGAAGTGTGGCGCCGGCCGAGTGGGAGAGGTCGAGGTGGGTGAGGATGGCCAGGGAGGTGGCTAGGGAAGAGGGAGGGGGGAGGAGCGTTTGACCTGCCAGAGAGAACGAGATGAGTGAGGGGCAGGGAGGAAGAGGAGGAGGAGTGAGAAGAGGAAGGAGATGAGGCGGAGGGAGAGGACGGGTGGTGTGGTATGGCAGTCCAGGCGGAGTTGGTGGAGAGCAGGCGGCGGAAGGCGAGGAGCCTTCCGGCAGAGGCGCTGGTAATGCTGCTAAACCCACTCTTACAGATGGCCAAAGTGCACCAGCGACTGCAGGAGAAGGGGGGGAGAAGGGGGGGAGGAGGGGGTGGAAAAGAGATGGTGGGAGTGGGATAAAGGGGAGCATCGGTGCAGGAGGCATTAGCGCAAGTGAGGGAGGTGAAGGCGACGGGAGGGGAAAGGGAAGGCTACGGGAGGGAAAAGGGAAGGCGACTCGAGGGAAAAGGGTAGGCGACGGGAGGGAAAAGGGAAGGCGACGGGAGAGAAAAGGGAAGGCGACGGGAGGGAAAAGGGAAGGCGACGGGAGGGAAAAGGGAGGGCGACGAGAGGGAAAAGGGGAGGCGACGAGAGGGAACAGGGAAGGCGACGAGAGGGAAAAGGGAAGGCGACGGGAGGGAAAAGGGAAGGCGACGGGAGGGAAAAGGGAAGGCTACGGGAGGGAAAAGGGAAGGCGACGGGTGGGAGAAGGGAAGGCGACGGGAGGGAAAAGGGAAGGCGACGGGAGGGGAAAGTGAAGAGCGACGGGACGGGGGAGTGAAGGCGACGGGACGGGGATGTGATGGCGACCGGAGGAGGGAGTGAAGGCGACGGGAGGGGGACGGGAAGCGCAACGCTACTCGCGGGGTCATCGAAAGGATTCGCAGCTTGCCAGGTGACGCACGTACGGGCGTTGCCGACTCGTGCAATGTGCCGCCTCTAATTCGCTGCGATAGGAATTGATGCCGTCGAGCAGCTTTGTGTACGCTATCCCCATCCCCCGCCGTTTTCGAGATTTGACGGTTGGGGCTTTGCCCTTGCGCGGGGCTCAATTTCCTAGCTGCTTGTAGTCGGCGCAGTTTCCTGTACTATGATGAGGTGACGTGGTGTTGGGAAATGGGGTTGTGAGTCAGGTTGCTGTGGGGTGTCGCTTTAGGCTCTGTGCGACTGATGTGTGCGTAAATCACATGTCGCAGGTAAGCCTTGGTAACATTGGCGAACCTGCGCAAGTTCACGAACATTCTCAACAATCTCGACAACCCCAACGTTCGCGGGCCAATCACGTTTTCACTCCCAATCAACCTTCCTAAGGTTGAACTTCCTGGCCTGCGGGTTTTAAGGGCCCGTCACCGATGCCTTGGATTGCAGGAGAGAGTAGGAGAGGGTGAAAGTAGCATAGGAGAGGGTGGGAAAGTAAAAGAGGGGAGTAGGAGGGGAGGAGGGAGAGCAGAATGAGGGTGCAGCAGTGGCACCGCAGCCTGAAGCAGAGTGAGAGTGCATAGCCACTGGTCAATGCAATGTGACTCACTGGCTGGTTTCAATGAGCCTGAGGCTTGATACGGAAAGGTGAGGTTGAAGCTTTGACCCAGCCAAGGGCGAACAGATGTCGGACCCCTCTTGCTGCTGTCTCTGTTCATTGGCGGTCACACTGGCACCTGCGGTGGTGGTGGTGGCGCTGGTGCTGTTGCTACTTGTGCTGCTGTTGCTGTTGCTGCAAGTGCTTCTGCAACTGCTGATATATTCATCTTCAATTCTCAATTGTCCTGAAACACATGCAAGGGATCGAAGAGAAGTAAACAGGAGGAGGATACCACGTAATGAAGTGAAAGCAGATCAAGGGGACGGAAAGCAATTGAAGGGAACTGAAAGCAACTGACGGGAATTTGAAGAGAATGAGGGCAAAGCAGCTGAGCATAACGGAGCTAACGAGTGATGGGAGGGTTCAGGAACTGCATGGCAGAGCAGAAGCGCGTGGCGAGAGCAGCCCATGGCAGTGCGGCAGTGAGCTGAGGGATGCAAGTGGGGACTGGGGTAGAGAGGGACGCGAGCATGGGATGAATACAAGCTAACCCGCTAGCCTCTAATTCTAGAGGCTAGCCCTGCCATGGGCTGTCCTCTCCACGCGCCTCAACCCTCGCATCCAGGTCCTGAACCCTCCTGAGCAAAGGTGCAATGGGTTATGAGAGTTGTTATGATTGGAAAACGAAACGGAAGGGTGAAGAAGCAGTGGGATAAAAGATTCACATCGTCTGTGATGGTAGGATTGCTAGGTTGAGAGCACTTAGCTTGTGACGCTGCAGCCTAGTCGTGCTGCAAGGTAACTGCTACTTTACACGCACACGCGCACGCATGCACACACACGCACACGCACGCACACATGCTCAGACACGCGGACACACGCACACGCGCCACACGCGCACACACGCACACACGCACACGCGCACACACGCACACACGCACACGCGCACACATGCCCACGCTCACCCGCGCGCGCGCGCGCGCACATGCACACGCACGCACATGCATGCACACGCATGCACGCGCACACGCGCACACGAACATGCGCACGCACACACACAGACACACACACACACAGACACAGACACACACACACACGCACACACACACACACACACACACACACACGGGCAGAGGGAAGTAGATGCTAAGAATTACGGATTGAAAGACAACGCCTTTTTTATGTGCCCTAAAAGTCAAGAAGCCCCGACAAGAGAGCGCGGACAGAGGGAAGTAGACGCTAAGAATTACGGATTGAAAGACAACGCCTTTTTTATGCGCCCTAAAAGTCAAGAAGCCCCGACAAGAGAGCGCGGACAGAGGGAAGTAGACGCTAAGAAGGACGACTGGACGCAGATAGATGGCGGCGTCACTAGAGACAAACAAAGGGTAGAAAGGTAAAGATGACGGATGTGCGACTCATGACCAACCACACCGGAGGGCAATGTGATGCAAAGGACGGAAAATGGAGCAGGAGGGAGCAAAGGGTCAGGCGAGATGTAGAGCATGGGACAGTGGGTGTAGAAAGGAGAGAAAGGTGGAGCATGGAGCAGGATGGGGGGCATTGTGATGGAAGGGGGGCGACACGTTACACGTATAGCAATGGGGCAGGAGTTTCCTGGAACCTTCACCGACCACACCTCCCCTTTTTGGAACGCTGGCAATCCTTCGACAGGCACCTGCCGGGGACATTGTAGGTGGGGACGAGGGCGGACAGCGGGGGTTTGGGGAGAAGGGGGATGGGGAAGAGGAGAGGGGAAGCGAGGAGGTTAATGACGGGGGGAGAGGAGGGAAGGTTAAGTACCATGTGTGGTAGCTGTGCGAGAACTTTCAGTTAAGTTTAGTAAAAATAGTCTGAAACAAGAGCTCGCACTGCATTAGGTGCTGCCTGCACTATACCCTCACTGTACCTCCACGCCTGGCGCCATAAGGTCAGCCCCCGAAAGAAGATAGCGGGAAACGTCCTCGCCTGTGAGAAGGAACGATGGCAGCAGGTCGGGTACACGCCACAGCGCAAACACTGCGCATGGATGGGGAGTGGGGTTGCAGGGTTGGGGTGAGAGAGAGGATCGGTGCGACAGCTGACTCTTGAGTCGCTTCAAACGTCACCTCCTCACCCTTGACTTGAGCAGGAGGGATGGCACCAGGTCGGGCCCGCTCCGCTGCGCAAACACTGGGAACCGATGGCGTGTGAGGTCGTAGGGTGTGAGGTCGCAGGGTGTGAGGTCGCAGGGTGTGAGGTCGCATGGTGTGAGGTCGCAGGGTGTGAGGTCGCAGGGTGTGAGGTCGCAGGGTGTGAGGTCGCAGGGTGTGAGGTCGCAGGGTGTGAGGTCGCAGGGTGTGAGGTCGCAGGGTGTGAGGTCGTAGGGTGTGAGGTCGCAGGGTGTGAGGTCGCAGGGTGTGAGGTCGCAGGGTGTGAGGTCGCAGGGTGTGAGATCGCAGGGTGTGAGGTCGCAGGGTGTGAGGTCGCAGGGTGTGAGGTCGCAGGGTGTGAGGTCGCAGGGTGTGAGGTCGCAGGGTGTGAGGTCGCAGGGTGTGGGTGTGTCAGGGTTGGGTACAAGACGTCTCAAGATGGATAAGAGTGGAGGAAGGGGGGAGAACTTCAAACATCAGGCTTGGATTCATTACACCTGCACTTGGGTTGGGTGGAAAAAACGAACTCGCAGCACCCGAACAGTGGAGAGGAGCGAGAAGGAAAGAAAGAGAGGATGGCGGGGAAGGGGTTATTCACCAGACTGCCCTATCGTTGTTATTCAATGCCTATACCAATAAAGGACCCTTCGGGTGGGAAGGGAGGGGTTCACGCGAGTATCAATGGGGTTACCAGTGGGGTAGATTTCAGTGCCGCGGCCGTCGCAATCGAAGAGCATGGGCAGCCCGTTCTCGAGTCCGTACACCAGCACGCGAGGGGCGTGTGGAGGATGGGTGTGTGGTTACATCTCCGTGTGGTTACCAGTGGGATATATTTCGTTGCCCCTGCCGTCGCAATTGAAGAGCATGGGCAACCCGTTCTCAACTCCGTACACCAGCACGCAATTCGCCAGCCTTGTCACGGCCACGTCAGCCTGGACCAACAGACAAACCAATCGGCTTTCCGTGAAAAATGCCGGGAAAAAGAACAATCTTCAACCACTAACGACGGCGGGGAATCCGGAAAGCGCAAGCATCAGCGGATTAAGGACAAAGAACTTCAACGAACGGCGAGGATTCAACTCGCGGGTTATCAGAAGGCGAATGCGTGGGCCTACGTGGAGGATAACCGCGGGGTAATACGAAGTTGGTCTAAGTTTAGGTATAGCCTCTGGCTAGCGTTGGAGATTAGTAGTCACTTGGAGAGAATTCTGTTTTTCTGGTGCAATTTTCACTCAAAACAGAGAAGTACAAAGAACTGATTGAAATCAAACACATTTAAGCATTTCGAAATGTGATGTGCGCCTCGTGTAACGCGTCATCCGCGTTTCAGCCCGAGTCGCACGCGGAACCGATTTCGGTAACCGTCACCGGAACCGAAACCCGTTTGTCCCTTCTGCACCGAACACGGTTCGGTTTCGGTTGGACATTCTAGGCTTCGGAAATGTCTTCTCGACATTTCCCGAACCTTATTTCTCCGTCATTCCGTTTTTCCTTACTTTCTCACGTTTTCCTCCCGTAGCTTCTTAGCATGCAGCCCCACCGTTCTAGGTACCGGTTCCCCATATTAGGTGATAGCTTCCCACCGTTCCTAGTGTTGTTCTACCGTCCCTAGGTTAGGCGCGTAGGCCGTAGGCACTAGGGCAGTGGCGAACCACCCTAACAGTTGGAAGCTACTAAGAAGCACCTTGGCCGGCAGGATCATCGCCTCCAGCTGCTCGTCAGTGGTGCCTGGAAACTTGTCTCGGATGTTTCGCCGAAGCTTCTTTCTGTCCCCTCCTGACAAACGCTGCTTCCCGCGAACGTCGCTAGTCTTTCTAAACATGTTGGCGCTCGTACGGCTCGGAATCCGGTATGGCTTTGTTCGACGGTTCAGTTCAGCTCGAGATTTTTTCTAGTACTATTAGATGCCTCTACCCTGATGTCGCGATTCACAGCTGTTGCAATTGGGCTGGCTGGCTGGGGTTATGAGCTTCAACAAACTTTTGCGAAACACCGTTAGAACCAGTACTGTAACTAAAGCGGTACAAGTCCTCCACACTTGACCTGGGGCCCAAGCCTTTGCGAGGGGTTTTGAACACAAGGCGAACGCAATAATGAGCGATTTACAAATGCGATTTCACGAAAAGGTTTGCGAACTGCAGTTGTTTCGGGAACCAAAGGGCCCCTCCTGCTCCAGGCTCCATCCCCTTCACGCCTTTCCTCCCCTTGTTTCTTCACAGGCCTACCCTCATAGCTCCAGCTGTCGTCATGCTCGCTGCTTGATCGCACCTCTTCCAGCCTCACTCGCATCAGATCCCGCACACCATTTTATTTTGTTTTTCTCGCTTAGTGGTCCTTCCTGAATCGGCGAATTCGCGTCGCGATCGGAGTGGTAGATCTACGTCCTCAGCCTCACGATGCCGCGGCGTGATGCTCCCCGGCGCAGACACTCACCAGCGACATTCCCACCCTCAGAGAGCTTCCCTGCGCCTACGAAATCGGATTTTAGAGAATGTCGTTAACAGCATGTGCAACGGAGTGAATGGAAAAGGGGGCGGAATGGAGAGGGAGGGTGACGTCTGCTTTTCGCCAAGACGACGAGCCGCAGCATGGGGACGGGTCCAGTGATGCTTGTGGTCGTTTTCGCTGCGATTCTGCGATTGCTGCCGCTCAACTATACCCCCCCACTATGTATACCCCAGTTCTGCCACTTGCTGTGAGATATCATGAATGCCAGTGCGTCGAACGTTGCGACAGGATTCGATTGACACGATGTCGCTCTCGCCTCCCTCCCCAGAGCGCGCCGTCAAGGCGATGTCGCCACGGGCAGCTGCGAGAATACGCCGTTTCATTACATTGATGTGCGGCGAGAATCAGCCCGTCGCCTCGCCCCGATGTCGATCGCAGTGCCGCCTGTCGCGTTCAGCGCGCCGTGCGCAGCTCGCGATCATCGACCTGTCAGGCCAACCTGCACCCAAAGCAACTCCATCATGCGCCATGCGTTCCTCACGTGGCGATCTCCCGCCATGATGTGGCAAAGGAGTGCAGCATGATGCGGCGCAACTTGGGCACCGGGACAGTGGGATGCTAGACGGTTGGATTTGGACGTGCAATGGCGATGCTGAACATCGACGATGGGCTGGGGAACGGGATGGCGGGATCTGGAGAGGGGCGAACGGTGAGATAGGATGGGTATGTGAGGCGGAACAGAAATGGGTGCCGCAACTCGTGTGATGCATGGGATGCCGCCTCTTCCCCCGCTCTCTGTCGTTCCACCTCGTCACCCCTGGTTCTCAGTCTCGCTCGTTTGTCCTCAATCTTGCCTCAAACCTGTGTCGCTCTACCCTCTGAAGTCTAGCCAGCACGATCATTCATCCACATCGTCGGAGTTCCGCCTGACACACATCCCCCCTTCCAGCACCTTTGCTTTCCATGTCGTCGTGTGGAGTCCCTCCTTCCTTCGCAGAACCCGCTTTTCGTTTCTCCCGTTCGCCGTCCGTCGGCTGCGGAGGGTGTCAGTGTGCGCTGAGAAGCGCCTCGTTACCTGCGGGCATCTCGCCGGCTCCGGCATCTGGCTCTCCTGCCGCCTCCACACACCACGTACGCACGCCCATCTGTCACCTGAGTGGTGCCCTGGTGACTTTTGAGTCAAAATTGGTGCCCCCACCACAGCAGCTTGTTGCGTCAATCTGGCTCGGCCATCGTGTTGTGATTGCTGCTCCACCGTTGCACTTCACTGCACCTCTTCAACTCTGCGTTCACAGCCTCGTTCTTCTTACGTGTTCTGCTCCTCCTCTTTCACCCTTTCCTTCGTCTAATTATCTCATTCCTTTCCAGTTCAGGTTGCCTCCACCGTTTCATTCTCAAGTCATTCCATGTTAAATCCACCTCGTCTAATTTTCTTCCAAGTTGCTACTGCTACATTTGTCACCAAATTTGCGTTGATTCCTTTCCCCCCTCTACCTCTTGGTCTGCAATTTACTTTATCCGATTGTCATTTGGCTTGCTACCCGAGCCGCAAGCTTCTTCCCATGCCATATTGTTTCCCACGGCGGATTTCACTGTTTCTTCCCTCTCCCATATCTCCACCTTCAGGAATGAAAGGGAGTGATGGGAAAAAACAGAAAAACATCATGCAAGTGAGCATTAGCCTCATTGCTAATTAAATACAAAGGTTGGCCGGGGATTTTAAATGGGTATACGTTATAACGGCAGGATAAATTGTTATGATCCCGTAACATGTATCTATTCATCCCCTATTGAAGCAGTTTTATACGCTGTATTCACAGATTTGGGGGTGGATCTTTTATTTTCTACGCTCGGAAAGGCAAACTTTCGCTATAAGAGAGTGTCGGTTGTGTCAGACGCCGAGTCTGACGCGCTGAATGTGTCAGATTTCGAGTCTGACGCGCAGGGTGTGTCAGATTTTGGCGACTATAAACTGACGCGTGAACGCGGGAAAAAAAAAACAACAGAATAATATACAGCAGAAATGGGTCCTCAAACTTTTATTGCAATGCATGTAATGTTTTTCAAATCGCCTTACGGTATTTACCATTTCACTTGAAAAGTTTATTATTATTTTTTTCAAATGCTTTCCCTATCCTACCTAACCATGTGCCTGGTTATCACAACACGGTGTACACGGTACTAACTACGAATGCGGTCCTCACACCGACCTACCTACCCAACCCATGTTCTGTGGCTGACTCACAGGTGCTATTTCTCAAGAACGGACTGTCCTTCAGCTTCTCCCCTAACCTCTCCCTCCCTCTGCCCCCACCAAACCCCCTCCCTCCCACACCCCCTCTCCCCCCCTCCTCCCGTCCCCCAGCAGTCACCATCCGTGCCCGCCCCCCCCACACAGGCAGCCCACCTCCCCCACTTCCACCCGCACCAGTGCCGCCTTGGCTGTCCGACTCAGCTGCTCGCCCGGCAGTGGACACGGAAGCACCAGGATCCGCTCCCACCCCTCTGTACACGTTATACACTGATGCATTACTGGCAGCGGACTCGCGCATACTACTCTGCACCCCCTCCCGAGTGCTGTCTCCATTCCTTAGCCCCTCTCCCCCATGCCCCCTCCCACCTTCTCGCTTGACCGGACCTAAATGCTCTTTCTTCCTCTCCTCCTCCTTCCTCTCCTCCTCCCTCCTCTCCTCCTCCCTCCTCTCCTCCTCCCTCCTCTCCTCCTCCCTCCTCTCCTCCTCCCTTCTCTCGGCCTCCCACCGCTCCTCCGAATCTCGCACGCGCCGCAGCTTCACGGTGCGCAGGGCCTCGGGGCTCACGCCATAGCTCAGCCGCAGGGGCGCCTGAGGCCGGATCATCCGACCCACCTCCGGCACCACCTCCTGCTGCCCGCCCCGCCCACCCCTCCGCACCCCCCGCCCCCTGCCGCGCGCCATCATGATGATTCTCCCCCTCCCCTCCGCCCTGCGTGCTGCTGACAGCACTCTCCCCACACCGCCTGTTTCCATTTCCTGTGACTCATCATCTTGAAATTCATCCCCGTAATCATCCATACCTCCATCCCCATCCCCACGCGCATCCCCATTCCAATCCCCGTCCCAATCCTCATCTCCATCCTCCTCCTCCTCATCAACCTCCTGGCTGCTGCCACTAGGAGGAGCCCGCCTGCTAAGGAACCCCCTCTCCTCGTTCCACCTCCCCACTCCGCTGCTCTCCCTCCCTCCACAACTCTTTCCCCTCTCCTCATCACCTCGCTCTCCCTCGGCCATCTCCCGATACCTCTCCTCACCGCCCCACCCGTGCATCGCTCCCTTGCCCCACACGCCTCCTGTGCTCACAGAGGGTGACTGTAACGGTCGCCCAGGCCTGCTGATAGATGGCGAGAGTGACACTAACAGGGAGTTGGTGACTTCAATAGAGGGGAGCGAACTACCAGAGGGAAGGAACGGCGAGGCGGAGGGGGAGGCGGAAAGGGAGGGCGAGGAAGGGGAGGAGGGGGAGGAGGGTTCGGAGGGAGAAGGGATGGATGTCTGTTCCTTTGAGCCAGAGTGTGACAGTACTGGGGAGTTTGTGACCTCAACGGTTGACAGTAACGGGGAGTTGGAGACTTCAATGGAAGGCAGCGAGCTACCAGAGGGGAGGAATGGCGAGGCGGAGGGGGAGGGGCAAAGGAGGGGGGAGGAAGGGGAGGAGGGGGAGGAAGTGTGGGAGGGGGAAGGGATGGATGTGCGTCCCTTGGAGCCCGACAGAGAAGCAGACACCTGGATGTCATAGCTCGCCCATGAGCCACTAGGATTCTGACACGTGGCACCAAAGGCTGCTCCTGACGCCACCCCACCCAGGCCACCCTCCTTCTGCCACGCCCCTTCCTTCCCTGCTCCACCGGACCAAGAGCTCCCCGAACCAAAGCTTCCCGGGCCAGAGTCGCCAGAGCTAAGTCGTGCCGAACCTCCATTGAGTCCGTTCTTGTGCGAGGGGATTGCCTCTTGTCCGCTTGCAGGCTGCCCAACAGTCCGATGCTCCCCTGCTGCTGCTTCCCCATCTGCCGACTTATCTTCCCCTGCTGCCCTAAACACTGCTCTATGCACTGTTGCAGCAGCACCTGCAGCAGCTGGTGCGTCTGCTTTACCATTCTGTGCTGCATCCACCTGTGGACCATGCATCACACCTGCTGGATCCGCTTTCCCAAGCGCACCTGTGGCAAGCGATCGGCCAACCAAGGCAGACACTGCTGCTGCCGCCGCCATGCCGCCCCCAACCGTGGCAGCAGCAGCAGGCGCTGCAGCAAAATCAGCTGCGGCGGCAATAGCAGCAGCAGCAGCACTTGCGGCATGCCCACTCTCTCTCCCTGCCCCATACCTTTCAGTCACACCTCTGCCCGCCTTACCCATCCTCCCACACCCAATGGGCGAGGGCGAGGTGGCACTGTTGTCGTCTACCTCATCGCCCCACACGGGCATTCTCCTCAGAGGACTCTCGTCCCTCTCCTCCCCTCTCCTCTCCTCCTCCCGCTCCTCAACCCCCTCCTTTTTGCTCTGCCTTTCCTCCTCCGTACCCTCTCTATCCAAATGCCTCACACCCCCACTTCCTCTCTCCCCCCGTTGGCCCTTAACTTCCGCCTTCCCCTCTGTCTGCAGTGCCCGGCTCGTTTCCCTTATCCTCCTTTCAATCTCCTCCCTGACAGCGCTCAAGCCCCCTCCCTCGGATGCAGACAGCGAGGCAGAGAGGGCGGACGGGGAGAGCAGCGAGGTGGAGAGAGGGGAGAGTGACTGTATGGGGGTGGGCTCTATGGAGGTGGTGAAGGACGAGGAGAATGAGTCTGAAAGTGAGTCTGCCGGGCCGTACCGATGGGGTGGGTGTGAAGGAGCAGCAGCATTCGCGTTTGCAGCAGTATCTGAGTTCGCAGCAGGAGATGACTCTCTATCACTAGAAACACCTGCCGCAGCAGCAGCAGAAGCAGCAGCAGACGAACCCCCCCTGTGTGAACCCCTACCATGCGATGACCCCTTGCCAATTGAATATGCCCTTCCACCCACCACATCATCGCCACAAGAACCACCCTGCGACCCTGAAAAGGAACCAGTCTGCCCGTTAACCTGCTCGTTCAGCTGCCCGCTCGAGCCCGATGCAGCGCGAGCATCTGACTGGGCACTTGAGAAAGCACCTGAGTGCGCCTGGGAGCGAGACCTGGACTTGGTCCACGATCGCAGGCGCAGGCCTGACCTGGACGGGCCGTGAGAGTAGGAGTTGGACTGAGAGGGAGATGGGGTAACTGACAGCGTGGACTCAGATATTGGGGTCGTTTCCGAGATTGTCTCAATGTCCATGCGGTCTTCGTCTGCTATAACCCGCTTAGCCTGATATGGATGGCTGGAGTCCTGATATAAACGGTTTGACTCCTGATCTGGACTTCTCAAGTAGGGTGCTGCTGCCTTGCCTTCCTCCCACCTCATGGCCACTCCCCTAGCTGCTCCTGCTGCCCTCTCCACCACCCTCTCTCCTCCCCTCTCCAACCCCTTCTCTCCTCCCCTCTCCAACCCCCTCTCTCCTCCCTTCTCCACTCCTCTCCCTGCTTCCCACTCTGTCCCTCTAGTGCCTCCCTCACCCACTCCCAGCCCAACGAACGTCCCGCCAGCATGCATCACTGCATGCCGCACCACCACTGGCGCTCTGCCCTGCGCTGCTGCCTCTCTCCCATATCCACCTGCCGTTGCTGCTGCTGCCATGCCGCCTCTCCCGTATCGACTTGCCACTGCTGCGCCACCCGCCTTGGCTCTTTCGGCTGCCGCCGCTGCTTTCGCTGTTGCGGGTACCTGTGCTGCTGCACCTGCCACCTTTCCTGGAGCTGCTGCTACAGCCGGCGGTGCCGGCTTTGCTTTTGCTACAGCCGGTGGCGCCGGCTTCGCTGCTGCCACAGCTGCTGCCTTCTGCCGCCCTGCACTCATCTCTCTTCTCTCCTGCAGCCAGTTCCTCATATACCCTCCCCTCCCCCGTCCCGCTTCCCCTCCCGTCCCTCCTCCTCCCATAGCCACAGCCCCACTCTGCTTTACACCCTCAACCACCCTCCCCACCTCCCCATCTCCTCCCTGCCCTCCCGCTCCTCCCCCTCTCCCAAACGAGCCGCTTCGGTTTGGTGGTGGCGCCAGTGCTACTGCCTCTCGCCCCTCCTTCCGCCCTGCAGCATCCACCAGTGACCCGTGCTCATACCGCTTCCCTGCTTCCTGCGCGCTGGATGCTGAGGTGTCGCAGCTAGATTGGGGCGAGGAGAGGGAGGAGAATGGGGCGGCGGAGGAGAGAGGGGAGAGAGAGGAGGCTGGAGTGAGGGAGGCGAGGGGGGTGATGCTGCGAGAGAGTGTGGACGGCTGTTTGTCGTTAGAGAGGGTGTTAGAGAGCGCAGAAGGAGAGGTGGAAGGAGAGGAGAGGGAGGGCGGGGTAGACACGGACGAGAGAGGTGTGAGAGTCTGAGACATGGAGCCATTAAGCTGAGAGAGAGACCCTTCCATTTGAGAGAGGGAGCCATCCATTTGTGATAGGGACCCCTCAAGTTGTGATAGAGAACCCTCCATATCCATATTACTCCCTCCTCCTTTCCCACTCCCCTCCTCGCTTCCATTCCTTCCCTCCCCGCCCTCCACCCCTTTCCCATCCACGGGAGAAGCACCCCAAAAGCTTCCCATGATCGACCCAGCAGCGCCAGCCACCATGCCCCAGATCCCAGGCTGTAGCGCGGGGTCGCCCCCTGCTGCAGCAGCCATGGCTGCTACAGCCGCGTCCACTGTGAGGGCCGAGGGGGAGGAAGGGACAGCAGCAGTGGCACTGGACGCCTGGGAGGAGGCGGAGAGGGAGTGAGAGAGGGTACTGGAACCAGTAGCATCAGCGCCAGTCTTAATGACCTTACCAGCTGCATGAACCCCACCTGCCGCAGATCCACCTGCCCCACCCGCAGCAGCAGCACCGGCAGCAGCATCAGAAGCAGGGGGGAACGCCCCTGGAGTCACCTCAGAAGCTTCCCTAGAAGCCTCAGTGTCTGTGCCATACGCAGCGTGCCTGCTGGACCACGCGTAACCGTTCTTCACCGCTTTGGGCTGTGGGGTGTAGGGCCGGCGGGGGTCGGGAGAGGCACTCTGAGGTGCTTCCGGGAGGGAGGGCAGGCGGAGCAGCCTTCTAGCGTCAGGCGCATGCGAAGGGGAAGGGGAGAGAGTTGGAGAGGCGTCGGGATCGGAATTGGCATCGAGGGACTTGTGGCGAGGGAGGGTGTCGGGGAGAGGAGTGGTCGGGGTGTGCGAGGTGGGGGTGTGGATGGTGGGGCTGCAATTAGGGCCCACACTGCAACTGGCCACAACAGACCGCCCTAGATCGCCCCCTCCTCCTGCTGCTGCTGCTGCTGCTGCTGCTCTTACTGCTGCTGCAGCAACACCAGCTTTACCACCACCACCACCAGCAGCCGCCTTGCCATGTGTTCGGTCGCCCTGAGGCTTCTGAACGGACTTGACACTGTCAACACGGAACCCCATACTGTCCACCCGCACCCCGCCAATCCCCGACCATGCTGCTGACCCCATCGTCCCCTCCTCGCCCTCCCCCCCTCCTCCTCTGCTTCCGTTCACCCCCCTCCCTTTCCCCCACTTCCCCCCTCCCCGCCCCTTCATCTCTTTGATCCACTCCGGCCCACCCCCAGAACCCACACTAGAAGCCCAGCTCATGTTCGTTGCCGAGTCTACAACTACTTCTACCCCTTTCTCCTGCCTCTCCCACCCCACCTCACCATCCTTCGCTCCACCTTCTTCGAACTCCCTCGCATTTAACCTCTCTCTTCCTTTCCTCCTCTCCTCCCTCCCACTTCTGCTTCTGTTGCCTTCTCGCCCACCTTCCCTCTCTCCTCTCCCCAGCCCCTCCCTCCTCTCTCTCCCCCCTCTCTCGTCCCTCTCCTCCCTCCCACCCTCTCCACCCACCTCCTGCATCCGCCTGCTTCTCAAATACTCCACCCTCGCCCGCAGCCCCCCAAACGGATCCTCCCCGCGCCCTCCCCGATCCCCTCGCCCTCCCCCGCCTCTCTTTCCCCCCACACCTTCCATCAGCGCAGCAGCAGCAGCAGCAGCGCCAGCAGAACGCTCACTGGAGGAGAGGGAGGAGAGGGAGGACCACGAGTCGCTCTGCAGGGACGCAGACGCCACGCCGATGCTGGCCCCCGCTGCAGCAGCCAGGGCGCCGCTGTGGTTGCCACACAGCACAGGCAGCGGGGAGAGGCGGCGCGGAGAGAGTGGGCTTGGGGACCCACTGCCAGTAGCACCGCCAGGAGCAGCAGAGGGAGAGGCAGGAACCACAACAGCGGTAGCAGCGGCGGCAGCAGCAGCCATTCCTGCAACATCCACCGCTCCATCCCTTCCCCAGTTCTCCTTCTCCTGCCGCCCCTTCCGTCCCCACCTGCTCGGGCTGAGCAGGTGCATACCCCCCCTCGTCTTGGCATGGTCCGATTGAGACCTCTCATGCTTGTGAGCGCCGGTGCCAGTGACAGCAGCAGCAGCAGCAGTGACAACGCCAACACCCAGCGCAGCTGCTGCAGCACCTGCTCCCAGCACCGCACCCAACACCCCGGCACCGCCCCCACCTGCCGTGCCAGCACCAGCAGGAACAGCAGCGGCAGCAGCAGCACTAGCACCTTCCCTTGATGCCCCATCCCCTCCTCCTCGTCCCCCCTTTCCCCCGTTCCCTCCCCCTCCCCCTCTCCCTTCCCCTCCCGCCCCTTCAGTAGCCCACGAGGGCGCCAGCATGGGCAGCAGCTGCATGAGCGCACGGGGGGAGTTCCGCCACTCCTCCCCCTCGTCTGTGCCATACCCCCCCTCCTCCCCACCTTCCCCCCTTCCGCCAGATTCCCCCCTCCTCCTCCCCCTAGAGGTTCCATCCCCCGTGCCTCCCTGCCCTGCTGAATCCAACCGAGAGGCCCCAGACTGGTTCGGTCTAGTCTCGGAACCCGTAATTCGGTTCGGAGAACCATACTCGTTATAAGCTGGGCCACTCGAAGCTCTCCTGCCACCACCACCATTGCCACCACCATTCCCGCCGCCGCCACCACTACTGTTGTCACCGCTACTGCTTTGGCTGCCCGACCTGCCCCGGCTGCTCCCCCTCGAGCTGCCCTTCACGGGAAAAGACGCCTCTGGCGACCCTCCCAGCTCACCCCGCCTCTCCATGTGAAACCTCGCCCCTATCCCCCCTCCCCATCCGTCCCCCTCCCCCTCTCCTCCCCTCTTCCTCCCCATCCCCCACCCTCTCCTCCACCCCGATTGGCTCGCAGAGTCGCCGCCCAAATCCCTGCCAGAATCCGAATCAGATCGAGGGGAGGCGAAGCCAAAGGGGCCGAGGAAGAGGAGCACGAGGCCGTAGGCGAGCAGAGAGAGGCCGCCCAGAAAGCCCCCTGTCAGCGTCACCGACCGGTCCGTGCCAGCCACCTCACTCACTGACCCCGCACACCCCTGCTCTTCCACCTCCTCTCCGCCCCTGCCACTCCTCCCCCTCCTCGCCCCTCCCAGCCCCTTGCTCCTCCCAAACGCGCCTTCATAGTATTTCACCCCCACCCCTGCTGTGTCCTTCACCAGGGCACGGAGAAAGCATATCAGGTGGCCCAGGAAAGATACAAGCAGCAGGGCCTGCATCCCTGCCCCTGCCGCTGTAGCAGCAGAGGGGGGAATGGCGCCCGTGGCAATGGCAAGGGCGACGGCGAAGAAAGAAACGTGGGAGGCAGACGCGAGGAGGGCGGAGAGGAGGAGAGTCATACTGATGAAGGGACGGGCGAGGGCGAGGTAGAGCAGGTGGCAGCACGCCAGCACCAGCAGCACCGTACACTGCGCACACGCATCCCCCGCTGAGCTGGCAGGATCTGCTGAGCTGGCAGGGTGGGCCATCCAGCTGTAGCTGGCGACAACAACGGCGAGGGAGCAGCGCAGGCAGAGGTCGAGAGGCACTTGCACTATGCCTGCCCAACCAGACGCCCATTGCAGCCCACGCCATGCCTTCTCCATGGCCGAGTGGCTGTCTGCTGTGCCATGGCCGTATGCACTGGCTGCATGCGCACGAGCATACCCGCGCCCATGCGTGAACGAATCATCCACTTCCCACCAGGCACCCCCTCCTCCATACCCATCGTGCTTCACAATACTCCATTGCCCCCCATCCCCACTTCCTCCTCCTCTTCCTCCCTCCCCAAACCCAACTGGATGCACAGCCGCTGCCCGACCAGGAAAGCCGCTTCGGCCAAAAGATGAGCCTAAAGGCGAGCCGCTGGCTCGGCTTGAACCTGAACCACTTCCTCGGCCCGAACCTGCACCGGTGGTCCGGACCACAGATGCTCCTCCGGCCTGGTTGCCGCCCCACTGAGCCTCAAACAGCAGCCCCCAGCTGCCAATGAAGGCTGGACACGTGGCAAGGTCTGTGATGTGCCATGTGCCGTGGGCTGAGCTGGACGAAGGGAGCTGGAGGTCAGAAAAAACAAGTATAGGCGGTGGAGGGAGGGGGAATCGAAGGTTGGCAAGCATTGAGATGAGAGAGATTAGGGTCTTGACAGAAGACGAAACCAGCAACAAGAAAGGAAAAGCACCACTAAGAGAGCACAATCCTGTACTACAGTGAACACTGGCCATAGAATACTCAGTAGACGATGGTCTTGTTCTTGAGACGTCTCAAAAACCGGCCATACCTGGTAGACCACGGCCTTGATCTTGCAGGCGATGTTGCGGAAGAAGAAGGCAAGGAGGAAGGGGAGATTCGCCACCACCACCACCACTGCTACGAAGGGCAGGCCTGCCCAGCCTGGGGGACGGTAGAAACACAGTTTTAAAGGGATTTGGAGAGACTCAGAGGGGTCAATTCACATAACCAGACTCGCTAGCTACCAAAAAGTTGTAAATATTCTCTCTTCTCTGGTTCACGCTGGAACGACTTGATGTGATGTATTTTGCTGCTACCAGAAAATGAGAGATAGCCTTCTGCGCTCATCTGCACCCACGGGCTCTTCTCCGGGTCGCTTCTCTATTCCTTCCATCACCTCCAGCAGATCAAAGTGGTCAAAATTGTTCAAAAAAATAAAAGGTCATTCAGCAAAGTTGACGCCATTGAACTTGTCAATACCAAACACTCTAAGTTCATCCCTGGAGGGTACAAGACTTGGTTGCACAAAGAGCCACGGAAGGATCATGGGGTTGGCCTTGAGATTGGATTTCTCCACTTCCTCCAGCATCTCTATCATCCCATTCCTCAGGTCCAGGCCTAAAATAAAATTTGATAATGAGTTTACCTAGTTCTGTTTTTTCCAGCAAATTCACGGTTCAGGGTTTAGTGTAAGGACAATCGCAAGTGAAAAATAGCAGGGGGTGTTCAGCGTGTACTTGATCAGCAAGGGCTCTTTATGAATACATCTTGCTGCAGAATGGCTTAAGCAATGGGGCGCGGGAAATAAAAATGTGGCAGGCAGTGCAGCAGCAGGATGGGCAACAGAGGAGGTGAGGCGAGATGAAAGTGGACTGACCAGCGCAGAGCAAAGTGAGGGCGTGGCAGAGGGCGGGCAGGCAGAGCAGCACCATGAAGAGCAGCGGGCGAGGCCAGCTGAGCAGATGCCCAACCTCCCATGGCATGGGCGCCCCCCCCTCCCCCCCTGCTGCTCCCGACCCCCACCCCACTCCTCCCGGTGACTCCCCTCCCCTTCCTCCTCCTCCTCCTCCTCCCGCTACTGCTGCTTCCCATCCTGCTGGGAGCTTTCGACTTCCTAATCCTGCTGCTGATGAGGATGAGGACGCGGAGGCAGCTTTGGCAGCACGGGAGGAGAGGAAGAGGAGGAGATAGAGCAGGGCGTGGAGGAGGAGGGTGCAGGCGAGGAGCAGGGCGGACCAGAAGAGCGTTCCACATGCTATGTTGATGCTGCAGGGGAGGAGGGAGGGAGGTTGGAGGAGAAAGGCCGGTGGAGTGTGACATTAAAGGGTGCGTGTGTGCGTGTTTCACGACTAAGTGTGTGAAGGAGTGTCGGTGGGTGCCTTAGGAACACATGTACACCCAAGCTGTCACATATGAGGCAGCTGTCACATATGAGGCACATCAAGTTTTGCAAGGAAGTGTGCAAATGTGTGTATGTGTGTGTATGTGTGTGTGTGCACATATGCGTATGTGCACATGTGTGTGCGAGCGTGTGTATGTGCACATAAGTATGCGTGCATGTGTAGGCATGTGCATGTGCCACAGAGCGGGCAGGGAGCCACTCACGCGACCTGGGAGGCGGAGGGGTACTGCATGCGCGCCAGTGCCTCCTGCTGTAGCTGCTCCTCCGACTGGCGAGGGAGAGGTGACGATTGGACGGAGCAAGGCAGGGAAGGGCAGGGCAGGGCAGGGCAGGGCAGAGCAGGGCAGGGCAGGGCAGGGCAGGGCAGGGCAGGGCAGGGCAGGGCAGGGCAGGGCAGGGCAGGGCAGGGCAGGGCAGGGCAGGGCAGGGCAGGGCAGGGCAGGGCAGGGCAGGGCACGGCAGGGCAGGGCAGGGCAGAGCAGGGCAGGGCAGGGCAGGGCAGGGCAGGGCAGGGCACGGCACGGCAGGGCAGGGCAGGGCAGAGTAGGGCAGGGCAGGGCAGAGTAGGGCAGAGCAGGGCAGAGTAGGGCAGAGCAGGGCAGAGCAGGGCAGGCAAATGACAAGATGAGCACAACACGAAAGACTGAACTGGAAACGGAGAATGGGGATGTTGAGGGAGGGAATCGTGACAAAAGGTGAACCAAGACAGTCAGAGAGGAACTTGAGAGCACCCCAACGCACCTGAGAGCACCGCAACCTGAGAGTACCGCAACGCACCTGGGAGCACCGCAACGCACCTGGGAGCACCGCAACGCACCTGGGAGCGCCAGGTGGTTCCTGCGGATTCATAGTTGCCCGTCACTGCTGGTGCCTCTGTGGGAGTCTCCTCGCCTGTAGTGGCAGCAGTAGCAGTGGGAGGAGCAGTGGTAGTAGCAGTAGCAGTGGTAGCAGCTGTAGCAGTGGTAGCAGCTGTAGCAGCGGTAGCAGCTGTAGCAGCTGTAGCAGCGGTAGCAGCTGTAGCAATGGTGGAATAAGTAGGAGCAGCTGCAGCTGTAGCAGGGGTAGCAGCAATAGGAGCAGCTGCAGCAGCAGAGACTGCAGCAGCAGTAGCAGCAGTGCCAGCAGCAGGGCTATAGCTGCTGCTGGCAGCATTCAGGCTAGCGCTAGGGTTAGGATTAGCATTAGGGTCTACGTCAGGGCTATATGAGCTATACGGGTTAGGGAGGTTAGATGGGTTGGATGGGTTAGGGAGGTTAGATGGGTTAGGGGGGGTAGGTGGGTTAGGGGGGGTAGGTGGGTTAGGGGGGGTAGGAAGTTGAGCGGAGAAGACAAGGAGGCGGCGCATGGGCCAGGGCAGCCTCTCCCTCTTCACGGCCCTTGAAGAGTCACGCCTGGAGTCGCCTGCTTGGCGAGGGGGAGCAGTTGCGCTCCTGGCGTCAGCTGTGCCGCCTTGGCTGCCCTCTTCACTCCCCATGTGGCTTGGGATGGTCTGCCCTTGGATTTTTTCAGCGACCGCATCGCCATTTCTCTCACTACCACCACCACCACCACCACCACCACCACCACCACCACCACCACCACCACCACCACCACCACCACCACCACCACCACCACCACCACCACCACCACCACCACCACCACCACCACCACCACCACCACCACCACCACCACCACCACCACCACCACCACCACCACCACCACCACCACCACTATTGCTCTTGCGCTGCACCCCACCTGCCCTGCTATCCTCCTCCTCCGTCCCTCTACTCCCCCCAGCTTCTCCCCTCCAGTCATCCCCTCCCCACACCCACCTCTTCACGACCTTCCACACTGCTGCTTTCTCCCCTCCCCCACCAAGCAACACTCCTCCAATCCTCTCCCCCCATGCCCCCACTCTCTCTCGCAACCACCTTCCTCTCGCCCTCGTCGCTCCCCTCCTCTTCCACTTCACACTAGCCAGGCCCTGCATCGCCCTCTCGCCTCTCTCCACTCCCCTCTTCCTGCTGCCCCACCCCCTCCCTTCCTCCCACTCACCATCCTTTCTTCCGCCATCTTCACTCTCCACACTCTCCCCATCACTCGACTCACTCCCTCCTTCGCTCTCCTCCTCACTCTCCTCCTCACTCCTCTCCACATACTCCTCTCCTCTCTCCCTTCTCTCCCCCTCACTCTTATCCTCACTCCACTCTACACTCTCCTCAACCCCCTCCTCCCCCCTCTCCCCATTCCCCTCCCATCTCTCCTCCTCATTCACCTCCTCACTCCCCTCATTGCCCTCCTCACTCTCCTCAAGCGTCACACTCCCACCTCCTCCCCTTGTCACCCCGCTTCTCCTCTCTCTCAGATGTCTCTCCACAGCATCAGACCCGCTATCCTCCACATCACCCTCAGCATCCCCCATCACCGCTTCCGCTGTAGCAGCAACCGGACCAAACCCCTTCGGCCCTGTCGACCGCCTTGCTGCGACTGTAGTAGCCTTGGCTCCTGTGGCTCCTGCTGCTGCAGCTCCTGTGGCTGTAGCCTTGGCTGCTTCTCCAGTGATTCCACCTGCTGCTGCCGCCGCCGCTGCTGCTCTGGTCGTGGCAGCTGCCCTTGCTGCAGCAGCAGCAGTGGCTGTAGCAGCCGCCTTCCCTGCTACAGCTGGAGGCACCACAGCAGGCGCACTGCTTGCTGCTGCTGCTGCCGCCGGTTGCCCTGCTGCTGCACCTCCTCCTCCTGCTGCCACGGCTCCCACTGCCGCAGGCGGCAGCTGCTCTGCACCTCCCATCCCTCCCACCACCCCACCCCGTGCCGCCACTGCACCCGCTGACACGCCTGCAGGTGCAGTGACGGCAGGTGGTGAAGTGGGAGCAGGGGAGTGCGAGGGGGTGAGAGCAGGGGAGGAAGGGGCGGCGGACGGGTTACCACCTGCTCCCGCCCCTCCTCCTCCCCCCGCGCCCGCCTCCCCACCGCCCTCGTTCTCCTCCCCATACACAAGTGTTTCATGCGCCCAGGGCAGGGGGGCATGGGGCAGCACCCACCAGAGCTGCTGCGCAGTTTCCAGGAAGGTGAGGGGCAGGTCGACCCGCAGCCAGGCAGCGAAGGCAAACACCTGCAGCGACGAGAACATGTGCTGTGTGGGGAGGGGGGGAAGGGGTGGTGGGGGAGAGGGGAAGGGTTGAAGAGGGGGTGAGCAGGGGAGGTAAGGGTAGGCATGATCATTAGGCCCGACCCGACCCGACTTGGGCGGGCCAGCCGGGTTCCGGGTCGGGTCGGAACTTCAAAGGATCCTGGCCCGACCCAAGTAACGGGTGCCGGGTCAGGCGTGACCCGCCCCCAGGTCGGGTCGGGTAGGGACCGGGTCGGGTCGGGTCGGGCCAGACCCCCATATGCAGGTAAGGGGAGGTAAGGGGGAGGAGGGTTGAACGACCGAGGAAGGAAAGTGCGGTGGAGCAGGTGAGAGCAGGTGAGAGCAGGTGAGAGCAGGTGAGAGCAGGTGTGGAGACCAAGGGATGGGTCGTGGGGCGTGATACGCTGCAAATTGCACAGCAGACGACTGGGCTCAGCAATACATTTGGGTGAGGGAGGGGGGATGCAGGTCCAGATGTCAGCACACCTCAGCAGGGGAATATGTGTGCCAATGCACCGCACTCACAAGCAGGTTCCTTGAAGGAGTAGCCACGTGTAAGAAGATTTGTTTTGAGACGTCTCAAAACAAACCCCAGCAGGAGAATATGTGTGCAATGCACCGCACTCACCAGCAGGTTCCTTGAAGGAGAAAGGGGCAGGCGGCCGTGCATGGGGGGGAGGAGGCCGCGGGTGGTGAGGGCGGAGGAGGAGAGCGAGTAGAGTGCTGAGAGAGCCGCTGCTGTGACCGTGGTGACGCTGATGGTGGTGGCGATGATGCTGGCCGTGGCTGAGGGCGCATCTGGTGGGAAGATGGAGCGGTGGGGAGGAAAAGGGAGAGGTAGACAGGCGTGGAGAAGGGTAAGAAGTGGTTGAACGAGGTGAGGAGAGGCAGAAAGAGGAGAGGAGAGAGAGGCACAGAGGAAGGAGGGGAGAGGAATAAAGGATGGGGGAAAAGGAATGGAAACGATGGTGGTGGGTGCGGGGGAGGGAGTGTATGGAAGGGGGGTGAGGGGGGGTGAAGAAGACGGGAAAAGAGCAAGCGAGAAGAGGAAAGGAGACGAGGGGAGCGCACGGAAAGAGAGGGGAAAAATGCAGCGATCACATGCATGTAGCGATCAGATGCATGTAGCGATCACGTGCATGTAGCGATCAGGTGCATATAGCGATCACATGCATGTAGCGATCACATGCATGTAGCGATCACATGCATGTAGCGATCACATGCATGTAGCAATCACATGCATGTAGCAATCACATGCATGTAGCGATCACATGCATGTAGCGATCAGGTGCATATAGCGATCACATGCATGTAGCGATCACATGCATGTAGCGATCACATGCATGTAGCGATCACATGCATGTAGCGATCACATGCATGTAGCGATCACATGCATGTAGCGATCACATGCATGTAGCGATCACATGCATGTAGCGATCACATGCACCACATGCATGTAGCAATCACATGAAGTGGAGGGGCGTACAGGTGACGTGGATGGTGTTGGAGGCGAGGGAGGTGGTGCCCCAGGGGGTGGTGGCGGCGCCGGGAAGCAGGGACACAGAGAGGGCGGCAGGGGGAGGTGCTGACTGGGGCAGGGTGATGCGAGCAAGGAAGGCCGCTGGACTGACCCGCTCCACCCTGTTGGGATTGCATTGAGCGTGGGGCAGAGGGAGGGGGGGGTTGAACGGGGGTTGGGAGTGGGAGGGGGAAGGGGGGAGTGGATTGAGTGACTGGGGCAAGGTGATGCGAGCAAGGAAGGCCGCTGGAGGGACCCGCTCCACCCTGTTGGGATTGCATTGTGGGGGGGAAGGGGGGGAGGGGGGGAGGTGGGTGAGCGGGGGTGGGAGTAGGAGGGAGAGAGAGGGGAGGGGAAATGAGGTGGGAAACATTGACTGTGGCAGGTGGTGAGTAATCAGTGCTGTTGCACTGATTCTCTCACCACACACCACATATAACATATGCAATTCAATCAGCTGATACGGCAATTCAAAAGCATATGCAGCACTCTGCACACAACATGCAACACGCCACTTGGAGCGTGCAGTAAGGCGAGCAGGAGTGAGCACCACACACAACAGCATCGTTTTCTTTGCTCCATATCAACCCGTCTAACTCCTCCCTGATTCAATCCATCGCACACCGAACCATCTCCGCACACCCCTCGCCACCTTCCTCCACCGTACCCTCCACTCCACATATGTCCCATCGCGCCGCCCACACCACACAGACAGCCATCGCACTGCATGCTGGAGAAAGCACATGTCACTCCATGCCGTGAATCTGCATGTTCCGCCATCCCATCCCTCCTTTGTCTGTCTCATGCATCAGTATCGTCCCTTGCTGCTGGATGCCACATGTGTCATTCACTCCACATGCCCACGTGCCATCTCACTCCACATGCCCACATGCCATCTCACTCCACATGCCCCATCTCACTCCACATGCCCACGTGCCATCTCACTCCACATGCCCAATACCCCACCCACTGCTTCCCTCTTTCCCCCTACTCCACGCCCCAATCCATCACTCCACACCCCAACTCACCACTCCACGCGGGCACCGTCTGTCCCATTCACCACGATTGTGCCCTGTCGAATGCTCGACACCGGCGCCGACGAGTTTATCAGAAACGTTAACTCCCTTTGCACCACCTCGTACGACGCTGTTGGTACCGCTGCTGCTGCTCCCGCTGCTGCTGAGTAAGATCGATTACTGGAGGAAGCTGCAGGCAGCACTGACGACAGCGATGGTGGCGAGGGCAGCGAGGAGGAGACAGCAGGGGCGGTGCTGTCAGGCGAGGTGCTGCCCGCAGGCCACATGATGGGACCCGAACCCACCCCGCTGCGGTAGGTGTCGGGGTGCTGCAGGAGCGACAGGTGCATGCTGGCGGGGTGGGTACCTGACAGATTACGGGGGGAGGGGTGGGGTGGGTCGGGAAGAGACAAGGAGGGGGGTTGTAAATGGAAGTAAGGAAAGAGGCTGTTGTGATAGGCGTGGTGGTGCTGCAAGAGGGACAGGTGCATGCTGGCGGGGAGGGTGCCTGGCAGGATATGCGGGGAAGGTATGGGGTGAGATGGAAAAAGCGAGGTGTTCTTATATGGAGGGGCAAGGGAAGTGGCTGTTGTGGTAGGCATGGTGGTGCTGCGGGAGTGAGAGGTGCATGCTGGCGGGGTGGGTGCCTAGTTGAGGATGTGGTGGGTTGGGAGAGGGATGGGGTGGGTTGGGAGAGGGATGGGGTGGGTTGGGAGAGGGATGGGGTGGGTTGGGAGAGGGATGGGGTGGGTTGGGAGAGGGATGGGGTGGGTTGGGAGAGGGATGGGGTGGGTTGGGAGAGGGATGGGGTGGGTTGGGAGAGGGATGGGGTGGGTTGGGAGAGGGATGGGGTGGGTTGGGAGAGGGATGGGGTGGGTTGGGAGAGGGATGGGGTGGGTTGGGAGAGGGATGGGGTGGGTTGGGAGAGGGATGGGGTGGGTTGGGAGAGGGATGGGGTGGGTTGGGAGAGGGATGGGGTGGGTTGGAAAGGGATGTGGTGGGTTGGAAAGGGATGTGGTGGGTTGGAAAGGGACGTGGTGGGTTGGAAAGGGATGTGGTGGGTTGGAAAGGGACGTGGTGGGTTGGAAAGGGACGTGGTGGGTTGGAAAGGGATGTGGTGGGTTGGAAAGGGATGTGGTGGGTTGGAAAGGGACGTGGTGGGTTGGAAAGGGATGTGGTGGGTTGGGAAGGAATGGGGTGGGTTCGGAAGGAATCGGGTGGATTGGCAAGGAATGGGGTGGATTGGTGGGGGGCGAATAAGAAGTGAGGTGAAGGAAGGAGGTGGGATGCAGGGAGGGGTAAAGGGGGAAGGCAAGGTGAGGGATGCTGGCAAATCGCACCAAAGATAATATCGGCAGTGTTGGAACGGAGGGTGGGTGAGGTTGCCACGCACACACGCACGAGGACATTTTGCACACACCCCAAAGACGTTGGCTGACCCGCGTTGGTTGGGATGCTGGTTCATTCAGATGTCCACGTGCATGTACAATTTGGACAGCAACGAAACAACGATATTCAGTTTTGCTGTGGGGGGAAGCACCCACCAAAGATGATGGCGGCGGTGTTGGACTGCTGGTTGAGGTTGCCGTGCACACTCACGAGCGTGTTGGGCTTCACTGTCACTGTGATGATGCCCGGGTTCACGAATGGCACCACCTGACGATACGGCAGCATGACAGGGTGGGATGGCAGGAGGCTGAGGAATGGCAGGAGGCAGAGGAATGGATGGCAGGAGGCAGAGGAGTAGCAAGAGGCAGAGGGATGGCAGGGAGAATGAATGGCTTTTCGTCAACATCATGGACCAACCAAGGGCCGTCCTTCTCACTCAGAACAACTTCACTTCACTGGCATCAGCACTCACGCGAAACTTGAACAGCTGCCCAGATAGCCTGGCGAGCACCACGGGGTAACCTCCAGTGACATTGAGGGAGTTGAGCAGCCGCTGCTTCAGCGACGATGCAGAGCTTGTCGCATCAGTATCGTCTCCCTCTCCCTCTGTACCACCTGTGCTCCTCGTATTCCCAGAGCCGTTCCCACCCACTACCACTCTTGACACCCCTCCAACCCTTCCACCCACTCCCACTCCTGCTTCCCCGCCTGCTCCTGCTGCGGCCGCCCCTGCCCGTCCTCCCACACCTCCCACTCCCACCCCTCCTCCTCCTCCCGCCGCCTCCTCGAAATTCAACGGAGCATCCGATTCTGCGTCCATCTCCTCATCACTCTCATCACCCCCAGCAGCAGTCTCAGAGATATTAGCCACAGTGGGGGTGAGCGGGGCGACGGAGGGGATGCGAGTGGAGAGGACGAGGTAGAAGACGAGGTCGAGGGGGCGGTGGGAGGAGAAGAGCTGGTGGCACGAGGGCACGGGGACCAGGACTGTGCTGTTTGCTAGAGCTTCCACTGACCCCACCACCACTGCACGCGCACTGCTGCTGCTGCTGCTGCTGCTGCTGCTGCTGCTGGCGCTGATGCTGCTGCTGCTGCTGGCGCCGCTCCTGCCTGGAACGTTCCCCCACCCACTGCCACTCACGCTGCTGCTGCTGCTGCTGCTGCCCATCGGAAGGCGTGGTATCCCACTGCCGACTGCACTCAGCCTGATGCTGCCCGCGCTAATCCCACTTGTGAGAGCCATGGTACTTGCACCACTGCTGCTGCCACTGCCGCTGGTGCCGTCGCTGCTCCCCACATCAACAACAACAGGCGAGCAGCCTCTGCTGTCAGATAAACCGCCCCCACCGCTGCCGCTGCTGCTGCCACTGCTGCTGCCACTGCTATTGCCACTGGCAATACTGGCAGCGGTGCCATGCAGCCAAGAGGCGAGCTGGTCTCCGTAAGTAGTGGTGAGGCTTGTGAGGGTGACTGGCTGCATGGTGGCCGCGAGCAGCGCCACTGTGAAGTTGCGCAGGTCTGGGGGAAAGCGGGGGAAAGGGGGGAGAGGGGGGAGAGGGAGTGGGCACAAGAGGAAGACGCGAGCGGAGGGGGTCAAGGGGAGTGGGGCAGGGGGAGGGGGGCGTGGCAGGGGAATAGGGGTGGGGAAAGGAAAGGGGAATGGCAGGAGGTGAGCTGGTCTCCATAGGTGGCGGTTACCACACGTGTTCTCATGCATGCGCACATCTTTTGAGACGTCTCAGAACTGAAGGCTTTTGAGTCGACTCAAAAGTCATCGCAGACGTGCAGGCTAACCGTATGCGGATGACAGTGGTGTTGCCCTGCTGCACTGATGTACGTGCAGTGCAGTGCAGTGCAGTGCAGTAACCACGTGTTCTCATGCACACGCCCAGCCTTTGATTGAGACGTCTCAGAACTGCAGGCTTACCATAGCGGATGCGGATGACAGTATTGTTGCCCTGCTGCACGAACGTGCGGTTACCACATGCGTCCTCCCGCACGCGCACCACCACCCGCCCCGTGAGCGCCGTGGGGAGGACGTCCACTGTGTACTCTCGCCCCCACCGCACCTGCTGCCACGATGCATAGTCGATAATGCCGCTCTCCCGCACCCTCAGCTGGTTGCACAGTCGAGAGGGGTGGAGAGGGGTGGAGAGAGGCAGGAGGGTGAGCAGCAGGGTGGGGTGAGTGTCCGCCGTGGGGAGCACGTCCACTGTGTACTCTCGCCCCCACCGCACTTGCCGCCACGACGCATAGTCGATAATGCCGCTCTCCCGCACTCTCAGCTGGTGTGGCCGTCGACAAGGGGGGTGCAGAGAGGGGGGAGAGGCACGAGGGAGGGATGTGGGGAGTGCAGGGAGGGGGGGTATGGGGGCTCGCTGGAGAGGGTGGGGGAGTGATGGAGGGGTGGGAGGAATTGAAACCGCCATAAGGGTTTCTTTGAGAATTCTCAAAAAAAACATAAGGAGGCACAGGCCCAGGGAGGGGCAGAGGGGAGCTACACGAGCCACACTGTAACGTGAGGCACAGCAATGTGACTTTACCAAGCAGTGGTGGGTATGAGTGTGTGAGACTATACCGAGCAGTGGTGGGTGTGATTGCGTGTGACTATACCGAGTGGTGGGTGTGAGTGTGTGTGACTATACCCAGCAGTGGTGGGTGGTTGTGGATGGGGAGTGTGACTATACCGAGCAGTAGCGTGCGTTGCAGCGGAAGGCAGGGCAGGGGCGGTTGAAGAGGATGGTGACGTGGGAGCGGTTGCTCTGCTGAGTGATCTTCGTGTAGGTCATGCTGGGCTGCATGGGGACCGCTGCCACTGCACGCATGGGGGGCCGGGGAAGGGGAGGATGGCGCAAAGGGAAATCCGGATGTGTGAGGTGCGAGGGGTGGGGCAGGGTGTAGGTGATAGTGGGACTCATGGGCACTGCTGCCACTGCACACATGTGGGGGAGGAAGGGGAGAGAGGGGGGAGAAGGGTTAAGGTCATGCTGGGCATGACAGGCACCGCTGCCACTGGGTGACGTGAGAGCCGTTGCTCTGCTGGGTGATATTCGTGTAGGTCATGCTGGGCTTCATGGGCGCCGCTGCCACTGCACACATGTGGGGGAGGAAGGGGGAGAGAGGGGGGAGAAGGGTTGAGGTCATGCTGGGCATGACAGGCACCGCTGCCACTGGGTGACGTGAGAGCCGTTGCTCTGCTGGGTGATATTCGTGTAGGTCATGCTGGGCTTCATGGGCGCCGCTGCCACTGCACGCATGGGGGGAAAAGGGGGAAAAGGCGGGGGGGGGAGAAGGGAGGGGGGTGAGTGGGAGGAGGAGAGAGAGGGAGGTGAGGTGTGAGGGACAAGACAGGGTTGAGGTCATGCTGGGCATGACAGGCACCGCTGCCACTGCACGCATGGGGGGACGGGAGAGGGGTGAAAAGCGGGAGGAGGAAGAAGGGAGGCGAGAGGGAGGTGAGGTGTGAGGGACAAGGCGGGGTGAAAGCCATGCTGGGCTTCATGGGCTCTGCTGCCACTGCGTGATTGTAGGGGAGGAGAAGGGGGAAAGAAGGGGGAGGAGAGGGGGGAAAGAAGGGAGGAAGAGAAGCGGGAGAAGGGGAGGAGAGGGGGCAAAGAAGGGAGGGGGAGGGGGAGGAGAGGGGGAGGATAAGGGGGGAAGGGGGGGAGGAGAGGGGGGGAGAAAAAGGGAGGGGGGAAAGGGGGCACGGAGGGGGGAAATGAGGAGGAGAAAGGGGGGGGAAGAGGGGAGAGGAGGGGGAGAAAGGGAGGAGAGGGGGAGGAGAAGGGGAGGAGAAGGGGAGGAGAAGGGGGAGAGAAAGGGGGGAGACGGGGAGGATAGGGGGGGATAAGGGGGGAGAGAGCGGGAAGAAAGGGGGGAGAGGACGGGGAGAGAGGGGCGAGAGGGGGGGAGAGGGATGAAGGCCATAGGCGGGAAGAGCGCACATAGGCGGGGGGTGGGGGTGGGAGACACATGGGTTGGTGGGGGAGGACGGGGGGCGTTGAATGGGGATCTACAGGCAAGGGTGCGTCAACATGCTAGCATGCGCATGTGCGGCCACAGGCTGGGCGGGGAGGAGCGGGGAGGAGCGAGGAGGGCGGGGAGGGCGGGGAAGGGGGTGGAGAAAGAGAAGTCGCACGCGTGGAGGAATGGGAGATAGAGAACAGCACGCATGGGACGGAGAAGAGAGAGGGAGAAGAGAGAGTTGGGCAGCACCGCAATGCGTGGCGTGGCGTGGCGTGGCGTGGCGTGGCGTTTCCTGCCCCACCACTCCGACCAGGCTGTTTCCCTCACCCCTCTGCGAATCGCATGATCCCACGCCCCTCTGCCACTCATCTCTACCGCTCGATGGGCCCTCCCTCTGCGTGCCTCTACCTATCTCACCGCGAGAATCCCTGCATAGCCATATTTGCTGTGTTTCTGAAACCCACCCACCCCTGCTCGATTAAACATGACTTCCAGCCTCTCCCTAATGCCACCCCTCTCTAACATCACCCTGCCAGCTGCCCCTTCTGCCCCTCCATGGCCCCCCATGACAAAGGTCCAGAACGCCCTCTGCTCGCCTCTGCTCGCCTGCCCGAACTTGCAGGACTTACTCTCTCACCCGCTGTACTTCAATGCCCCACCTGCCGTCGCGCCTGATGACTTATGCCCCACCTGGTTTACCCCCTGCCGTTTACCCCCTGTGAACCCCTACCGCCTTATGCCCCTCCTGTCCTATAACAGAGCTTACAGCTCCTTAAGCCACTCAGCCTCCACCTCTCTCTCTCTCTCTGTCACCACGTATCGCGAGCTGTCACCATCTATCGCCATCTGATGGCACAAATCGCCACCGATCGCCACCTGCCCAGCTGTGCCGTCTGTATCACCCCTGCCTCATCCTGCTTCCCCTGCCTCATCCTGCTTCCGCTGCCTCATCCTGCTTCCCCTGCCTCATCCTGCTTCCGCTGCCTCATCCTGCTTCCCCTGCCTCATCCTGCTTCCGCTGCCTCATCCTGCTTCCCCTGCCTCATCCTGCTTCCGCTGCCCCCTACTGCTTCTGCTGCCCCCTACTGCTTCCGCTGCCCCCTACTGCTTCTGCTGCCCCCTACTGCTTCCGCTGCCCCCTACTGCCGCGTGACCCTCGTGTCTCCCCCAGCCCTCTCAGCGGCGCCCCACCTCATCGTCCTTCCTCTTTCCCCCGAGCCCTCATGGCCAAGTAGGGAGCACTCCCCTCTGTCAATTCCTCGCCGGTGTTGTCTTCTCCCACCTCCTTGCTTTCCATGCCCCACCGTGCCTGCCCCACCGTGCCTCGGTTTTTCTAGTATTCTTAAAAAACAGACTCGCTGGTCTTGACTTCTCCCACCTCCTTGCTCTACATGCCCCACCGTGCCTGCCGCTCCTGTGTCCCCTCGCTACCAGCACAGCACCCTACCAGCAGCGACCACATCCATCGCCCTCGGATCGGAGCCCCTACCAACAGCAAGCCCACACCGCTGCCTCCGTGCCCCTGCTGCTCTCGTCGTCCAATGGTCGCAAGCCTGCTGCACGCTCATCGGTTTACTGTCTTTGCTAAGGCATCTTGCCACCTATCCGGATGCCATCTTTCCGTCTATGGCGTAGCTCCGTCCATCCTAATGCCGTGACTCCGTCTAACCTAATGCCATGATTCCGTCAACCCTAATGCTGTCCTTTCAGCATCTATCGCCCTAACCCCCCCCCTCCCCGACCCCCCGAGCCCGCTCACCCGCCCCTCACCTGATCCCGCCTCCACTCCGCCCGGCGCGCCCACCACGAAGTCCAGAATGCCCCACCCGCTCGCCTGCCCGCTTTTCTCCTGCGCCACCACGTCGAATCGGTGGTAACCGTCCTGCACGTCCGTCAGCCGCACTCGCCACGTGTCGCACGGAATCATCCATTGGTCCAGCTGGCAGGAAGAAACGGGTTCGCGAATAAAAATGCGTGAGGCAGGGAGACATGAAACGATGACTGGAAAAATAGAACTGGAGGAAAACAAAACGTGATTTTCTTGCAATACACATAGACACGGTTAAAGCCCGAGTCTGCAATTTTCTGGTGAGGCAAGAATCATGGCCAATCAGAGCAAAGCCAGCAGATCGTGATGACGTGAAGCAGTCTGTCCGCTTACCGCGGACGACACGAGGCAGAGTGCTTACCGCGCACGACACGAGGCAGTCGCGGCACGTCTCGTTGCCGACGATCTTGCGCACGTCGAAGTAAATCCGCACCAACTGCTTGCCCTTCTTCGACTTCCCCTGCGCGCCGTTGGGAAAGAGAACCTTCAGCCTGAGCGCTGCCACCACGTTATCGCTGCCCGTCGCCGCAACCCCACTCGTCGTTGACCGCCTATTTCGCTTCAGCAACATTTTGTCGTCGGGCAGCGGGGTCGTATTGCTGCCCGGAGAAATGTTTTCCACCCAAACCACGTCTTCAGGCCCCGATTCGTCCAGCCCGTTATCCTCGCTATAGTAGTCCTCGTCATAGTCCGGATCCGATTCGGCTACAGGCGACGGCGCTACAGGAGGGGAAACGGGGCGTGCAGGAGTGTGACTAGTACCGGGAGGCGGCGTTGGGGTTTGAACGGCCAGCGCGCGCCTGTCTGTGAAGCTGCTAGCTGCCTTCGCCGCCTCGCGCGTCGACTGTAAGGACGGCGTTCGGGTTTGAACGGGCGGCGCACGCGTGTTTGAGAAGCTATCTGGCGTGTCTACTGCATCACGAGTAGCTGTAGAAAGCTCGTAAACGGACAGCCTGGATGCGATCACGAGATGGCAGCGTAAGGACAGAGCCAGCACTAAGACCAAGCATGCTGCTGACGATTGTAACTGTGTAACGGTCGCGTGGTTTCGCCGTCGAGTCGTCGCCTGGTTTCGTCTAGTCGTCGCCTGAGTCTGCCTATTTCTTACTTTTCGAGGCGCGAGCCGACGGCGCTGCGTTGAAAGGGAAATCTCAGGCTGTGCTTTCGATCGCTGTGACGGCTCTATTGAATAATGGAGGTCTACTAGAGCGGATTGTATGAAGGTGGAAAAGGTGGGGTTTCCTCGGTGCGTGAATCTCTCCGTGTAGAACGAGGCCGGCTTCGAGCTGCACGGCCGAAACGCCATCCCGTACTAGTTAGTGACACTAACTAGCGGTTGCCAGAGCGACTTTTTCTCTCATCGGATCTTAACGCGGTCTCCGTAAGGGGTTCGAGTGATGAATGTTGGAGTGGTTCGACTTGAAAGTGACAAAAGCAAGGGACATGGCGTGAGATCAATAGCTGAACGAGTTGCGATACGGGCAGACGGAGGAGGGCGGGAAGATAAGCTATAAGTTGACCCTAAACCAGAGCTACCTCCACTACTCTCTGATCAACCCGACAGCACTCTTGCCTGCCGCTGGTGGTAGCGGCAGCACTGCCAGCCAGATTTGAACCCTGGAGGGTTGATTCAAATCTTACAGTTACAGTTTTCCCGCCAAATACTGCGCCCCTAACCAATAGAGTTAACGAGTCAGGAGCCGCGTTTCAGGAACATTGTGATTTTCTGACCACATCTGACCGCTCTGGGCGTGAAGAGAAACGCGACCTGTCTATTGTCAATATTTGTACACATCAATATATCTCACAACGAAACACATTCACCATCAAACAAATCATGTTTGACAACTTTTTATACTTGTTTGCGTACCAAGTACCTCAATCCCCGCATACCGGACCCACCGGAAAGAAAAAACCATCGAATATGGTCATTTATTGTTGTACAAATCTTTAAGGACTCCAACGAGAGTCTAAAATAGTGAACCACGACCTGGTTTGAAAGGGTGTTTCAAAGAGGGTTTGCCAAAGCGAAACGAAACGGAACCGGGCAGATAAAACGCTCTTTCAAACTATAAGTGTGTGCATATTGAACTAAATTGATTGGCCTCCAAAACGATGTTACCTGACGTGAGTCGACTTAGAAATTGTTACGAATAGCAAATGACAAAATGTAATGTACACTCCTGACTACAGCAACCGAAACACGCAGTGAAGAGTATGAAGGCGAAGAGACGAAATGACGCGAAGGGTCGCGTACGGTTACGGGGCATCTCGACCGTCAATACAGACAGCATTGTGCAGCCGCAGCAGCGAGGATTCTTCCAGGAACAGTTCGTAACCGTCTGAAGTCGTACGGTTGGATTTCGTTGTAACAAGCAAATGTATCCATTAGAGTACATGACTAATTAGGTCGTTTCGTATTTCCCTCTACTCTTATTTATACAAATGTCTTTGCATGCTTTTATCAACCAATCAATTTGAATTCTCTCTTATTTGAGGTCACAATCATCCACTGCAACATTGAATTATTGCGAACCTTTTATGAGGTGATCCTAGTTACGATCTCCTTCTGATTGCAACATGGTATCAGAGCGACCCATGAATCCTTCGCACTGCCACCCCAGAAACTTTCGGCGAACTAAGGTGGCGTCCGGCACACGCTCACGCGTAAAGTGTTAGAATAACAGGCCGAACGAGGAGCCATAGCTAGGGTTTAGCTAGCTAGGCAAGAGAGAATAAGCAAAAGGAGGGTTTGACTAGAAAGGAGGGAGGTACAAATAGCAAGCCCTAACAGGGTTATACTCACTATTGAGTACCCCACTACAGACTAGACAAGCATTATATTCTGACACACCCCCATAGTCAAAGTGGGATATAATCAGCATAGCAAGCAGTCATAGAGCAGGTTCACAAGGACAAGTAAAGCTAGGGGCAGTCGCAGAGGGCAAGTGAGGAGGAGGAGTGACTGTGGGAGGAGAGGAGATGGGAGGCGACGGCGGAAGCTGCAGACACACGGCGCAACTGGAGCAACTGGCACACGGGCAACTGGAGCAACTGGCACACTGGCAACTAGAGCAACTGGCACACGGGCAACTGGAGTAACTGGCTCCGCGGCTAGACGAGCGGCATGAGCAACTGGCCCACGGGCGACTGGAGCAACGGGCTCACGGGCAACTGGAGCGACGGGCTCACGGGCGACTGGCGCAACGGTCTCACGGGCGACTGGAGCTGCTGGCTTCACGGCGGCCACCTCCACTCAGCCTCCCCCACCTGTCCCACACCCCTTTCACACCCCCTGCTGCACCCCTAGTTTCACTCCCACGACGCCCCCCTAGCACCACTCCTTCGGCTCCCACACACCCACCCCCCTCAGCGGCAGCTGCAGCAGTGGGAGACGGAGGAGGAGGAGGAGGAGCAGGGGACGGCGCACACACCCGTCACCCCCATACCCGCCACCCCCACACTCGCCACCCCCAAACCCTAAAACGGGCAGCACGGGGCAGGAGCGCGGGCAGCAGTGCAGGGGACGGCGCGCGGATCCCCCGGGGCGCCACGACGGGCGACGGTAGGAGCGGACGCGCGGGCCCCCGGGGCGCCACGACGGGCGACGGAAGGGGGGCCGCGCGCGGGCCCCCAGGGCGCCGCGACGGGCGACGGGAGGGGAAAGCGCGCGGGCCCCCAGGGCGCCGCGACAGGGCGACGGGAGGGGAAAGCGCGCGGGCCCCCGAGGCGCCACGACGGGCGACGGGAGGGGGCCACGCGCGGGCCCCCAGGGCGCCGCGACGGGGCGACGGGAGGGGAAGGCGCGCGGGCCCCCGAGAGCGCCACGACGGGCGACGGGAGGGGGTGGCGCGCGGGCCTCCGGGGCGCCGCGACGGAGCGGAAAACCGCCACGCGCATCGGGGCGCACGGCGGGCAGAAAACCGCCGCCACACGCCCCAAGCGCGTGGCGGGAAGAAAAAAGGAACGTCGCGCACCACGGGGCGCGCGACAGACAGTATGGCAGCGGAAGCAGGCGGGCCCACAGGCCAGGAGCGTAATCGCTCTGTTAACATGTCAGAATAGCAGGCAGAACGAGGAGCCATAGCCAGGGTTTAGCTAGCTAGGCAAGAGAGAATAAGCAAAAGGAGGGTTTGACAAGAAAGGAGGGAGGTACAAATAGCAAGCCCTAACAGGGTTATACTCACTATTGAGTACCCCACTACAGACTAGACAAGCATTCTATTCTGACATAAAGATGGCTGGAGGATCTGGAGGTTAAATAAATATGACCGCTGAAGCGCAGACCAACCTGGCTACGACAAACGAGGAGACGACAACGATCGGCACCGCCGCCCTTGCACAACGGATTCAGCGACTTTCAACTTTGGAGCAAGGGCTCCAGACATTGCGGGATGGCGACGCGGGAACATCTTCCCAACCCTCTTAACCGGCATCGAATGGCCATGATACCGCCCCGCACACCTTCTCCCTCAACACAAATGGCTGAACACCCAAAACTCCCCGTCCCAGCGATGAAGCAATTATCTCAGCTCAATCAAGGTTTTCGAGCATATAAGAAATAAAGACAAGTGCCTGCTTGGACAGCAAAGACTTCTACGCCTGAAGCTTCGAGCTGGAGTTGCTGCTGCAAAACGAACATATCTTCCACTATTCCGTAAGAGCCGAACGCCGCCATAAGATCACGGGTTTCAAATCACCCGCCTTTGAAAGGTCGACTTGCTAAAACGGTTCAAGGTTGGCCCTGGCCATTTTCTCCTCTTCGTACTTTTCGAAGTCTGCGAGCGATATGAACGTTAGCCGTCCAGGGTTGGCCACAACTTTGACGAGAATGGATATCAATTCCGCAATATCCATACGTGAAAGCCCAGACCCTCCAGCACCCGTGCGAATGAAACGCTTGGCACGAGCATCAATGTCAACGGGTGTTGCATTGCACTCAGGAGCAAACGCGTAGCCTGTAAGGTCTTCATTTAACTCTGCCGCATCGGGTTGCATATCAAAACGGCTCGGCCCTGGCTGCGTTTCAGAACGTGTGCGCTTGGTGGATCGTGAACGAAGACAGTGTGCAGCTGCTCGCATCCGTTCTACAGCTCCTCGGCATCATCACC